TTTTTCCCTGAATGAAAGGACACTTAGAGAGGTCAAGTACACACCTGAAATTTCTAAAGCTTTGAGTGCTCCAAGTATTTTTATGTTCATAAGGGAATGGGCGCTGTTTTACTGGGTGTGTTCGGCTGGCCTTGCCCCCACCTGAGGGCCTGTCCTCGGTGCCACCAGGGGCCCCCGGTTCGGTCCAATCCCCATTCTCACTCCAGGGCCGAGCCATAGTTGTGAAATCAAACCAAAGCTCAGGTTCCTCCTCATCCAGCTCCTGGTCATCATCCCATTCCTCTTCCTCCTCCTCCAACTTGTCACTGTCATCTCTTCCTATGGTTAGTTTGTAAACACAGTAGCAGGCACCAGCCCCAATCATCAGTCCTGCTGCCATCCAACCCACTTCCCGAGCCCTGCCCATGCTCAAGTCCGTGTCAGCCTTTGGACAGGACAGGAGAGGGCCTTGTTCCACCTGATTCAGGAGGATTCTGAGGGCCAGGGTGAGTAATGGTGGAGCAGCAGTCCTCTTCAGCCTCTCCTGGGCTCCTGTAGCTCTCCTGTGATGAATCTATGGGTGCAAAATGGCATTAAGGCGTTGTGTTGTGTCTGAGTTTGTGCCTCACTATACAAACAAAGTGGAATTTGAGTTCCGGTTGAGAGAGGTTGATTATTAGGAAACTAGTTCTTTGTTCCTTTTTGTCATCCTCTATCTACCCCCACGACCCACCATTTCTCTTCCAGGCCCTACAGAAAAGGGCAGGGTTTGGGGCTGTGCTATGATAGCCAGGAGGGTGACATGGAGAGGCAAAGGCTCGGGTAGTTTCCTCCACCGCCACCCCTTCCCCAAAGATTCACAGGTAGGTTTCTCCCACCAACCTCTACCAAAGTCAGGTAAATTTCTTCTTCCCTTGTCTTCTGTTGTCAGCACTCCTTCCGCGGAGACTGATGGACAGTCTGGCAGAAGGTCAGAAAAACAGATAGCTGGCTTTGGAGAACTGAAAGTGTGGTGGATGGATCAGCACTGAGAACGCGGGTGCTAATACCCGCTTTTCTGCATTTTCAGCCTTTGACTTTAAAATATTTCTCACACCTCCCCGACTTTCCAAACGCCGGTTCCTCCGCACCCGCCCCCCCCCGCCCCCTTATCGTCCGCCATTTCCCCAGCAAAGGCCGCCACACCCCTTTCCCTGCACTGAAATGGGAGGGGGTGTGGAGAAAGAAGGGGCCAGGAGAGGGCGACTCGGACCCGGCCCGCTCAGATCCCAGCCATTCCTCCTCCACCACCCCCAACGCCACCCCCAGCCAGGGTCCAGGTCTCATCCCACCTTCACACGGACCTGCACAGTCCCAAGGCAGTTTGCTCCTTCCCTCGGCACGACGTTTGAGGCGACCTATGGGCCAACAGACCTACAAACCTGCAAACAGGCAGGAAACCGAGGGGACGGAGTGCTTGGTGGACGGCGCAGGACTCGGGACCCGAGTACCGTGATTGTTGCACCTTTCTTCGGAGTCTGTCTACCGCCATTCACTCCCCTCAGCCCCCCACCCCCGAAGTCCGCCGGTTCTCTCTACTAAATGGGCACAAGGGTGGGTGGTTGGGGGGCGACAGTATTTAGAAAGTAGGCGGGAAGGGGACCCAGACCAGTTGAGCCCGAACCTGGATCCGTGACGCCCTTGGCCCTCTCCTCTCCCCACCCGCCTCTAAGCCGGAGCCCAGGCTCGTACCGACCTCGCGGTCCGGGGCTAGTTTCCTTCTTCCTTCACACGCCTGCAGAGTAATAGGGGGCTGGTACCCAGACGGAGGCGACTAGCAGGACTTCGGTTCTAGGCTGCTCTTGGTCACGTGACGACTACGTCACCAGTGAGCTCTGGCCCCCAATTTCCACTCCCACAAGCAGTGCGGCAGGCGCCAGCCGGCCCGTACCTCCCACCTTCGCACTGGGCCCTGTCACTCCTTTCCTCTATAACAATACTATTGAGCCAGAAGTGGCCGTGGCTCTCTGTGGTCTTTGAATTTGCCTTTCTCTAAGTATACGAAGGGGCCGCATCTTTTCGTGGGTCTGCCATTACTTCTTCTGGGGGGAAATTTCTTCTCCTTTCCTTGGCTATGAATCGCCTGCTCCCTGCCCGTTCCTTAATTTCTACCCCTTTGCACATCCAGTCTCTGTACCAAAATGGGTGGTGGTGGGGGAAGTGGCATAAAAGGAAGCTCAAGTAGCAGTGAGGTTTTTATTAAAATTTTTCATACATTTATGTTCTATTTCATCCTTCCTTTTTTATTGACTCAAACTAGACTATTTTGTAACCAGAAAATACGATAAATCTATTTCACTTGGAGAAAAAAGAATTCAAGTTATGTACGTGTGTGTAATAAACAAGATTTTCCAGTTAATAGAGAGGCCTCATTGATTTGGTTAAATTAATTTGGACCCTGTTGAAAATGTTTTTTACTGATTGCACAGGAAATAGCAGCTTTCAAACAGCATATTAAAATTTAAATGCATACCTTTACAAACAGAACCAGTGTGCTTTCAGATGATTTATGAATTGGTGGAATCTATAGTGAGGTGGTCAGTGTTTTAATTGTGGCAATTTTTGATAAGTGAATCACTACGCCTTTCTTATTCTTGTAGTATTAAGTGTCAGATGGCTGAGAACTTCATAGAAGATCGCTGGATGGCTTTCACTCTGGCTTCAAAGGGCCAACTTTATGCAGACCCTAAATTCAGATGCATCTTACCGTTCCTGTGAACTTCAGAAATTAGTAACCTTGCAGGTTAGCCTGTCTTTCATTCAGAAGTTTTTATTTAAAATCTATGCTGAAGTTTCATGGTGTAACTTGTAAACAATCCATAAATCAGAGTTGTCCCTGTTATTAACACCCCCTGAGGAAAATGAGACTCAACAGACATAATTTTCATTTAATCATGACACTGGTGAGATAACTCCAGGATCTGTTGTTCAGGTACTGTATGTCTGTCACCCTAACAGCCACTAGTGCTCAGCGTCTTCCAGTGGAGACAGTGCTGAGGGTCTGTGGGTGACTGTGAATCACTTCGACACCCCTGAAATTTGTGCCATTTTTCCCTCACGAAAAGCATAGTTGACAGGATGCCAAGCAGTAATCACCGGCTGAGAGAGGCCTTTTCACTCCCTGCCTTCTGTTACAAGTTCACTGCACCACCCATACAAGCCCCTCAGAATAATCCCAGAACTCAGGGACAAAGTATGCAGAAGTTAGTCCCCAGACATTCAGCTGTCCCTGCTAGGGAGTCATACTCTAAATATAGACCCTTTAGGCAGCCTCTTTCTTTGAATGCTGAAATCTGACACCCCAGCAGGAAGCTCTCCCTGTGAGGGGCCCCTGTGTGGGGGGAGGCCCTTTCAAGAGGTAAGCCAGGAGCCCAGAGTGACTTGCTGGTGAATATTCAGAAGTCAAGAACACATCACAACTTTCTGTTCTTCCTCAAAACTTTTATAGTCCAAACTCCTTCACTAGTATCACACCCTTTTCTCTGAAAAACAGCTTACCGCTGTTGTTCTGCATCATCTCCCTCCACTGTTCTTTTTGTCTCCCTTTACTTTCTTCTCCTAGACAAGCGAATTCTATGTATGAAGCTTTACTGACAAATCTAACTGTCCATCATTCAATTTTTAGTTGCTAGGTAATTATACAAGTGGCTTTTGTTTGTTTTGAATGTATACATTAGAAAGAACTAAGGAGTATATAAAGCTTAACAAAGCTTTAAGGACAAAAGTGCCACTCTTCCCTCTCCTTACAAGTAAAAAATATCTCCCTCCCCCACTTTGGTATGTTTTCCGGTTATTTCAATCCAACGTGTAACTCCCGGCCATCATTTTCCCAGTCTGTCAGATTTTTCCCCGCCAGACCTTTCCCGTTTGAATCCACTCCCTCTCTAAAACATCCTATACTCCATGGGAATGATAAGCCTGTCAATTTCCCTCGCTTCTTTGTCATTTAGATCTACAATTTCTACCAGGGAACCTAAAAACTGCCATTTAAAATCTACTTTGCTCTCCATTATACACCCATCAGCAACTACTTAAGGGCATGCTATTTGCCTGACAAACCGTTTCAAAAGCAAAAAAGGAAAATCCTTAAGCAGTTCCTCAGACAAGCCTGTTAAAAGCTCCTACGCCTGCAGAAGGCTATATGAAGCCACCGCTGAAAGGAACCTTTTGGCTCAAACTGGTATGTGGTCCCAGGTGATAGTTATCTGAGAGAGTGCCCCCAAATAAAAAAGGATAGGCAGATGCTAACACTAATGGGATTTAGAAAGTGAGAAAAATATATAGAGAAGATTTTTATTTTAAAAAGTAATATTACTCTTTGTATCGTGTTATTTGTTTTTGTGTTTTGTATTAGTTAATTTTGTTTGGTTGCAAGCAACAGAAACCAAACCTGATTTAACTGAAACAACGAGGGAGTGTTGCAGACCAGGGTCAGCTCTGAGGGGGATAGGCAGGAGGAATTCACAGAAAGTCTCTTCAGGATGTCATCCTTCCGCTGTTTTTTTAAAATGTGTATTCAAGATTTAAATTTTAGTAAGAGAGTATGGAGTTGGTCTCCTTTGGGCACAATACCCACCCTTTTGCTGGGGGAGAAAAAGGGGGATGTAAGGGAAAAGGGGGAGTGTAAAACATTAAATGCACTTCCTTTCTTTTCCCAGACAGAAACTTAAACTGTTTCAGAGGGTTGATTTGCTGGAGCCTTTTAAGGACTTTGGATGTTAACCCGTTGTCAAGCTATGAAACGAGATGCTGGGGGCCTATGTGCCACAAAATGTCTTGGTTGTGATTTTTCACATTCACTAAACGTCAGAGAGGTACAGTTCAGAAATCATGATGCACAGGATTGTATTCTAAGTCAAACTGACCTGGCTTTCCTGACAGGATTCCACAGGGTTTTATTTATAGTTTAGTGTCTTGCCCTGGTTGTCGCATGATCAAGCCCTGACTTTATCTGAAAGCGAGGTCTCTGTCAAGACTCCCATTCACAGAGACTTACATGTAAATCTAGATCTGAACACCCGAAGGCATCTCTGCATTCCCTCTCTTTAAGTGGGCCAAAAGGGAAGCTAAGTACCAGTACGAGTGACAACTGAATAATTTACCCTGAAAAATACAACTGTCAGAGGGTATTGGATGTTTCTGTCCATTTTTACAGTCCATTCTTTCTGTAAGCAAGCTACTACTTAAGAAGCAAGCAACCTCAGAAGTTGCTTGGTGAACCTGCAATCAGAGCAAGAGCCCTGGTTCACCTTAAGAAGTGGCTTTCTATTAAGAGAGTCCGAAGGACCCTTACACATTATGGGGATGGCTCTGCCAAGGAAAGCTGAATGTTCCATTCATCTTAGCCAGGACTCCCTCTCCCCAGACGGCACTTGGGTGGGAGCTACCATCACTTTCCTCTGACACTTCTTTTCATACATTCCCATGCTTGAATAAGCCCCATGCTGCACATGATCTTTCTCTGAACCCAGAATCGCATAGCTGATGTGGTTTTCTGTTTGCTAAATTTCAGTCAGATCCTTGTACTGCCTCTTAGAAGTTACACAGAACTTCTCTGGAGTTCTGCCTATTCCCAAACTCTCCAGTCTCTTGATTTACTCCCATATTATCTGTGGATTGTAAAAGTTATACTCAGATAATTACCTTATATCTGAAGTATTAAGGACAATCTCACTGTAGATCCCAATGTTCTGATATTACTTTTATTACTTTTCCCAATATAAAAAAAGGTTCAATCATTGCTGACCGGTGAATCACTGAGCTCACCAAAGCAGTCAGTGAAATGGTTCCACACTAATTACTAGAGGCCAGAAGCCGAGTTCAGCCAATTTTATCTTGGTCTCAATGTTCCCCTAATACTTTATTTAGAGGTGATATTCTCTATCTGTATCCAAGTATATTTTGTAATGTTCTTTTACGCTACTTACTTTGTCAGTGTGCATGCCTTTTTGGACAGATAGCCACCAGGTAGATGTGACTCCTGCTCAACCTTCTCTGTATGACTACCTTCTGAGGGCTCCACGCCTCTTCCTTGCTAAGCCATGCAAGTGAAAGTCTGTCACGCTCCTGTTTAGAACACTGGCCTAGTCAGAAGATTTATGTAATCTTAGACACTCTAATGAACTCATTCAGGGTTGTGTTATGTGCTAGGCCTCAAGACATTAATATTGTTTGGAGTGAGGTGTGTAACACTCCCCACGAGTGAGAAAATGTGGGGATTTTTGAGGCCATCACCCTACATCACTCTTCCAACTCCAACTCTTTTTTTTCCCCCTCAAATGAGAGTAGCTTTATAGTAATTTTTCTTCTCACAAAAGAATGGAGGCTGGGGGCAGGAGAGGGCAGGACAAAAAGAACAAAAAAAAGTATTAAGAAAGTTAAAAAAAACACACACATACTCTCACTCCAGGTCTCCTTTTCTGATGGTTTTTCATTTCAGATCTGGGACTAGATTTCAGAGGAAATGGTAGACATTAATAGCTGGGAGGAGGGGAGGTTGAAGGAGAGGTTGTTGTCCCAGGAGCTTAGGGAAGGAAGAGGCAATTTTTCAAAAAGTACAAGTGGCCAGTAGCCCCAGGGGAAGATGCTGTCCCTTCCTGGTAATCCGAGGAAGGCAAACACAACTACTACCGGGAGATGGGATTAGCAAAGAAGAAAGAGTAACAAGGCCTGGTGTGGGGGAGGGAATGGAGGGGGGCGGGCCCTCTTCTGCCGCACTGCTGGTGGGAGGGGAAATTAGGGACCCGAGTTGGTGGATGACGTAGATCTCACGTGACCAAGAGCTGACGTGTGCAGAAGTCCTTCTTGTT